AACTCACATACATACATTAATTCTAAAAACAATAAACTCCTTTTCGAGAGCAGTCGTGTTAAAATATTCGGGAATCGATAATGTATCTCACCATAGAAATACTAAAATAAATACAAAAATTGGGAAAAGTATCAAAATAGCTTGGTTAACACAGTATTGTGGACTCGTAACCTTGAACAAGTTGTCGAGAACTCGGAACGCTTCAAAATACCTAATCTCACAGAGTGAAAATTTGTCATATGGCTCTTAAGTTATTAGGGATTCGTTAGTAAATATATCAGTGTATATAGATATAGCTTTTTCTTCACGGTTTCGGAGCATAAATAGAATTAAGTAAGGAGAACGGGCCATAATTAACCACGTGGACCCAGCGCGGGTTTGGTTTGGGCCAATGGCTTACGTGTATTCCTAAGCACGACGAGTTCGAGTTGAGAAACCATCACCCATCTTATAACCAGCCATTGCGAAAGCTGCTTCATTTGCGTCTCGCAGATTGCTGGCAAAACGCGTTGACCACCGCATCATCCAGTTCCACGGTTTGCCCGCGTGCGTTACATGAATTTAGATGAATTTTAGATGAAGATGAATGAATTTAGAATTTACTTAGCAAACTTCCATTTTTTAATATGTATCAGTATGTATTTCGGCATGTTCCGCTTAGTATTCAGATAGATCAGTCTGTCCATTACCTTTGTCTGTTGTAAATACAGATATCATTATCATCATCATCAGCCCTTTTACGTCCCCGCTGCAGGGGCTCAGGCCTTCCTTATGGATGGTTAAGGAGGATGGGTCATGACACTCCACGCGGATTGGAGGATTGGAGGGTATAAACGACTGCAACCAACGCGGATTGGAGGGTATAAACGACTGCAAATGCAGCCGGGACCAATGACTTAACGTGCCTTCCGAAGCACGGAGTAGCTCGAGATAATAATTTTTTGGTCACCCATCCCGTGATCGACCATTCCGAAAGTTGTTTAACGACAACGATCGGGGGCCGCGGCGCTTATCCATTACACCACGGAGCGTACAGATACAGATATACTGGATTACAACAATTCTACTATTTACGCAATGATCGCATTTCCCGTAGAATCTCAACTTGTTCAGTCCAATATTATTATATGTCCGTGATGTGTGAGCAAGACATTGCACTAATAATATTAGACTTCATGTAGATAGTACAATAGCATGATGCGAGTAGTTCAGGTTCTGTCGAGATACGGCTATTACATAAACGTAAGTAGATATGGCCTGCTGTTTGGTTAGTCCGTGTATCATTGATTTGGCGCTTTCGATGATGCAATATAAAAAAACGAAAGCACTAAAAAAGCACCCCCACTAGATGGCGATTCTAGCAAAAGTTGTTTTTTGCAGTAGACGAATGGACCAATTCATTTCCGTTCCTATTAACTAGCATATTAAAAAACTGAAAAAATAAGTTCGAAACTTAGATTTCAATATAAATAGGAAAAAGCACAAATAGAATATGAGTTGTTTATTGAGTTTTGAAAACTAATTTACTTTTAAACTTAAAAAACCGGCAAGGTTGTCATGGAGAAATCAAGAACGTACCGTACCGACATCTAGTTTTATTTCGGGAACTAAAGTTTTTCTTTTAAATACTTCTTCATTATTTAAGCTATATTTATATGATAAACGGTCAGTTGCACAAACGTCCATTTAGATTTAATGACGCTTTTAAGCCCTAATGAATATCAAATTTGTATGGGTAATGGCACTTTAAACTAATGTAAATTTTAATAGACGTTTGTGCAACTGGTAGAAAATCATATTTTTTTTGTCGAATTGGCACATTCATTGATGATAGGTATTACTGAAATCATGTTCTTCAGTTGTTACTCAAAAGCATTCCTCTTTTGATATTGGAATAATATAAATTGTACTTAAATCTCGTTGCTTAAGCTGGATTTTGCCTCCTAAATTATATTTTCTTTTTTTTATATGAGGTATATAATATATGTATTGGTATATATATATATATATATATATATATATATGTATGTGTGTATTTCTATTTTATATTAATTATGTAGTACATTTACATTTATCATAGATCAACCCACTACTCGCTAATTTCTTTAATTGGTATAATTTCTTTTAGTCAAGGGTAGCCTGGAAGAAATTGCTACCTTAGCAATAAGGCCGCCTTTTGTGTTTGGTTTTGATTGTAAATGTTTTGTATAACTGTATTTGTACGCAATAAAGTGTATTCATTCATTCATTCATATTATAAAATACTCCAACAATATTAGTGATCTTGTACAGAGGTTTGTCATAAATGATGAAACGTGTTTTAGCCGTTCGTGGAAAAGAATGTTAATGCTATATTGTACCTACTTGTTTATTTATAGACAGGTATGTATTTAAAAGCGGTGTCACCAATCCTACTGTTTTAATAGATTATTTGCTGTTACACTAATGACCTTGTTTTTTATTTCATTCCTTATTTTCACTATGTAAATATAATCCGAAATAACCGATTGCTACTTATTTAACGCCACAGAAAGGTAATTTAACAATGTTATGTATGATTTTAAAAAGAAAAATGAGCCGGAAAACACAATAGATAAGGCAATCGAGGAAAAAAGTAGAAAATTATAGTTTTTTATTTCGTTTCATTTTCCTTTTATTTTTTTTTTAATTTTTTTAATCAATATCATATTATAGCAATGTAAGTGAGTCGTGATAACCGATAAAAGTATGCGATTGTTTTATTATACGAGTACGGTATGAAATATCTCTTTTTTTACTTAACCTACTGTTTCTTCCTGTTTTTTTTTATTGGTGAGTTGTTGTTTTGTACTTTCTTGGGGTTGGTAACACTGTTTAAAAGAAAGATATGTTGTGTTAGTATTGAAGTTTAACCCTGCCTAATAACCTTTTTTTAGGTTTTGTAGGATATTGACTAGAATTATATACTTTGTGCTCTCTTTTATAAACTAACCTCTTAACGATCAAGTATACTATCTGCTGATTTCCTTATAAAAATAAAATTGTTTGCTCCGTATTCCTTGTAGAGGTACCTACAGGTGTTGACTCATTTGTCAATACAGAAACAGCATGTTTAAAGATTTTTAAGTGATTGGTTATATTGCACTTTTTCATCCATCATTATTTTGATAGAAAATTAATTTTATTACAATATTTATGATATTTTAATTAGCTCTGTTAATTAAAGTACCATTTGTCGGTCCAACGTAATTTACTGTTAAAGCTCATAAGCCATTCCTCGATGTTTACCCTACAAGCTGTTGGCCACTTTGTCAAACTATCGTGCCAATTCTGTATCGTAATTTCGAGAATTGGTAGGTATAATAAGTTTATTAGTAGAAATAGCTTGAAAGATTATTGAAAGACTAATTATTCTCTATTTTTTTATCAGTTTTGCATACATAATAAATGCTATATTCCTTAAAAGATATATTACATATATGATCTCTTTATTAGACTTATTGAAAGGTGTTAGTCGATAGCGGGTCCTCTTATCAAAATATCTCTATTTCCCTGGTATCACATTAAAGTTGCAATAGTTGAGCGCTCCGAGCTGGCATCATTCAGTTGGATAAATACAGAAGTAACTTGAAATCTGTGAGCTGTGATCAAATATAGCTTGTTATAGAAGTTACAGCTAACAGCCGATTCAGTTTCTGCAGTTAATGAAATATGTACGCTTCTTGAATTTGTGTCAGTAGGTTTTGTTTCATCTATTTTTATAATGTCTTTTAATTTCTACCTATTGATATATTCGACAGATGTATGAGCACGTTCACTCAAAATAATTTAATTTCAAAGGGTTTTTTGTACAAAGAAGTAACATCAAAAGGAGCTGTAATTAAAAATGAGAAAACTTGGTATGTCATATTTCTAAGGGATCTCAGCAAAAAAGCTGTTTTTTTATTTTTTTATAAAAAAACGCAAAGTTAATATAATTTCATAGGATTAGTATTCCCTATTAGTATATTTCGCTAGGGTTAATATATTTCGCTGAATTACTTGTATATTATTACAAGGTATATTATTTAATTATAATATACCTTGCGAATTATGTAGGATATTTACAATAATGTTAATAGTTTGTAAGTATCAACTAAAAACCTTTTTTCGCGCAAATTGCCATCCTCTGTCCCTGTCCGGACACAATAAAATAGCCAGGGACAGTCTTTTGATGTCGATTGTACCTATTATTTTATAAACAAATAATACTTATATGTAAAGAAGTGTATATAAAACCGGTCATTGATTCAGTTTTTGGTAATGTTTTAAAAATAACGGTCTTTCTATAACATGTTTCAGAATAACACTCATATAGAAAATGAGGGTAGTAGTTGAGTGCTCATTGCACTTATCGCACTGCGGGCGATCGGCAATAAATAACCTTTCTCAGAATCGGTGTATTGTGGACTCGTTATGCCTCAATCAGTTGTTTCAATCGATATAATTTGCGGTTGGTTTGGTCGATGACCGGCTATAGGACGGCCCCACGGTGGGCGCCAGTATGACTCGCTAGCGTTAATAGCTAAAAATGTTGATAATTTTCCTTAGAAAAGAAATGTATGATTTAAAGCACAAAGTTTATATACGGTTACGTACGCCAGTATTAGAAAAACAAGTTTCATAGTAACCGCTATTAACGTAATCAGTGCACTGGCCGAATAGCATAACAGCCATAACATGAATTTCGTTATGTGGTTATTCTGCGATTGGTACAACGCGTTGTGAACTATTTTTTCCCTCAATTAACGATTTTGATCTTTGAGTGTAACACATACATACTTTTTTTTTAATGTAATTTCGTGTATCGTTACGTCAAGTCTTGCGTACAAAAAGTAGTCACAAACTGATGATTTAGTATACTATTCATAAAATACTCCCTCTTTGTGCGTCAATCATAATTTGCATATGATAAGAATCTTGAGACGTGTTGATCCGATTGAGTTTTTGATTTAATTAAAAAGAGATGTTGCTCGTTACAGATGTACACTACGTTTTCCTTCGACAAACATTCGACTGGAGTTCCAGTCTCTCGTGGAGGAGAGTGGAGGGGGCAACAGTTCCGGGGCTTCCCTGGTTCCTCTCCGCATCGCTATCCCCATGGACAACGACGCACGAAGTCCGGCACCCTCACCCACGGGTAAGCGAAGATTAGCCAGTTAGCATGAAAGAACAACGAGTAGCAAGTTGCATTCTTATGGAGCATAAATGTCCAACTTCACAAATAATATCTGTGTAATTATTATATTTTTTTGCTTGCCCTATGATCATACCTTAGTATATCAGACTTTTGAATAAATTATATCATACTGTCATGAGAGTGACATTATTGAAGTCGATTTCCGTAATGATCTGAGGAACTACGACAAGTAATACTAAGGGTCAGTACATATATGATAGAAGATGTGCCAACGTATGTGGCGAAAGATGAACAGACAAAAATTATAAGATGGCATTCATTCTTGTTCACTATACACATGATTCGCCGCGTCGGTTCTTCTCATACTATCTTTTCTACAAAATTCTAGCCGTAGTATTGCAAACTGATGGTATAGTTTTTAGCCACGAGAAGCAGTTCATAGTTCATACAGGAATTGATGAGAGTATAAATCGGTTTTCAGGTACGATAAGTGCGGCGAACAGCTGTCCGACGTCGCCGCGAGGGGCGGGCTCGTCGGGGCGGCGGCACGCTGACCTCGGTCTGGTCGCGCAATATGCGGCGCTGGCTGACCACCAGCGACCCACCAACGGCACTGCGGTAAACAAAACATGAAATTACTATCTTATTTTGGCAAGGAACTCTATGTCGCTGTGATTAGTGCGTTCTAAGATAACGGAGCCGGTCAGAGGATGGGTGACCATAATTTGTATTATCAAGCTTTGGTAGGATTTCGACCTTTTTTTGAATTATATATTTGTTTTTAAATTGCTGTGTTAATTGATTAGTGTGGGTATTAGGGGGCTGGATGTAGAGCACACTGCTGGATCCCAGGCCCTTCTTTCAAAAGAGAGAGAATGCACAGAGGGATTTTGTGGATATACCATCCGCGTTTTGATTAGCATTCGGGCAGATCCTTCCCCATGCCTCCTGTCAAGCGACAGTTCAGCCCAGCTCCGCTGGAAACGCTCAGCGCCTTCATCTCTTATATTTAGCCAGGGTTCGGAGTGATGATTATCTTTGATAATTATCGCGATAATTGTTATGATAATTATCAAAAAAAAAAAAAAAAACTTTATAATTACGAACTCTGTATTCGGCTGAGTAAATTTAATAACGATTATTCGTTTGTGAAAATCGTCAGGTGTCATCGACGACATCGGATTCCGGGTACGTGAGCCGAGACGTGCGCGACTCGCGCGAGGCGCGTGAGGCGCGGGAGGCGCGCGACGACGCGAAGCCGCCGTACAGCTACGCGCAGCTGATCGTGCAGGCCGTCGCCTCCGCGCCCGACAAGCAGCTCACGCTCAGCGGCATCTACAGCTACATCACCAAGCACTACCCGTACTACCGCACCGCGGACAAGGGCTGGCAGAACTCTATACGACACAACCTCTCGCTCAACAGGTCAGCGATACTCGGACACTAGAAGTTAATTTCTGTTTGCGCATACCGCTAGGCCAAATATTATAATAATCGTATTTCAGTAGAATCGCAAGTATTTGCATTTTCTCATTGTACTATCTACTTGAGATGGAATATTATATATAATGTATAATAATATTATGTGCCAGGACTTCGTAGAGAGAACGAGTTAAGTATACTGTCAAACTTTTACTATGGGAGCAATCCTGAATTTGCGGAAAAATAATCAAGTGTTTCATACTGTTGACGATTGTGGGTATTACAATTTTCACGAAGTCCTGGCATATAATCATATAACAACTTATATTGATGTGTACCATTGATGTGTGAGGAAGTCATTGCACTAATAATATTGGAATTTAGGTGGATAGTACAACGGTTAAATGAAAGTTGTTGAGATTCTATTGAGCCACGAATATTAGGTAAACATGAGTAGAACTGGCCTGCAGAACTCCTTCATTGTTTAACATTGACTAAATTAAGGTATTTTGAACTGCAATTATTCTTAAATTACTCATTCACATTTTATGTGACTGGGAAATGTGCCTCGTTTTATGATGCCGCCTTGGTCACTGAAAATTTTGGCTTCTAGTGTACTCCATAACGAAGTTACAGGGGGTAAAAATGGCCCGAATAGCTCCCAGAAAAAGATGGTAGGCCGCGTTTTTTTTACTTTTTTGCTTGACTTGGTGGCGACGCTTCCGTGCCCCCAGATTTGTCCCTCAAAGAAATCCATTTTTCGATTATTTATGACACAATTGAAGTAGGATCTGATGATATATCTCGTGCACAAATAATTTTCACGGATGATACAAAAAAAAAAAATAATAATACAAGAATGATTTCTAATCATAATTTTGGAATTTTCTCTCATGGACAAATTAGAATAGGCCGCTGACACAAATTCGATGATTACCGAATATAAGATTGAAATTTACGATATAATAAGTTTTGTTTCGATGACCATAAAGTTTAAAATGAAATGCACAAATTTCCGTCACTTACATCATTCGGAACTGCGAAGATCTTTTTAGCTCTAGAAATTTGCGCAGGTATATCGTATTCCATGTAAGTTCAGTAGTGATGGATGCTAGAAAGAGAGAGGGAGAGGGAAAGAGGGAGAGGGGGGGGGGGGGAGACAGGTATACCTTATCTGTCGATCTCTCCTTCTACTGGCGCATGCACAGGATAAGTGAATTCTTCCATTGTGCTCCGTTTACACTGTAACTGAATAATTTCAGATATTTCATAAAAGTGCCGCGCAGTCAAGAGGAGCCCGGCAAGGGCAGTTTCTGGCGCATCGACCCGCAGAGCGAGGGCAAGCTCATAGAGCTCGCGTTCAGACCGCGGCGCCCGCGCGGCGTGCAGTTCCGGGCACCGTTCGGACTGTCCTCCAGGTAACAATTTGACCTGAGGCACTTTAATTGTTTCTTCTTCTTGAGGTGCCAACTACGGTAAAGTGGCAGTAGGCAGCAAGCTTCTCGTTTTAATTCTATCCTGGAATCCTCGTAATGGGGATGGCGACTAAAATATTTAATAAGAATATTTATATTTTTCTTCTTTTTTTCTAGTTTTCTGGGTAATAATAAAAGAGATTCTATTAAGTCCAACAGTTGGATAGAAAAATATAAGATACATACTTTTTTTTACTTCAATTTAACAAGAAATAGTTAAGATGAGAGGCATTAAAAGAGTGGGAGCTCGTTAAGTCACACATCTCAGAGTACCACGGACAAATTGGATTTTTTAAGCATTTTTCATTAATATATTCTTAATAATTTAATAATTTATTCTATAGTGGATGAGCGCCGCGGCCCGCGATCGTTTTCGTTAAGCAACTTTCGCAAGGGTCAGTCACGGGATGGGTGACCAAAAAATTATTACCTCGAGCTACTCCGTGCTTCGGAAGGCACGTTAAGCTGTTGGTCCCGGCTGTATTTGCAGTCGTTAATACCCTCCAATCCGCATTGGGCCAGCGTGGAGGATCATGGCCTATCCTCCTTAACCATCCATAAGGAAGGCCTGAGCCCCTGCAGTGGGGACGTAAAAGGGCTGATGATGATAGCATTGTGAATGCAAAATGGATCAAATATAATAATGCAAAGTAGTTGTTTTATCAAATAATTAATGGCAATGTCACGCAGGAGCGCGCCGACGTCCCCGTCGCAGGTGGGAGTGTCGGGTCTGGTGACGCCCGAGGAGTTGTCGCGGGAGCCCACGCCCGATCTGCTGCACGAGGAACACGACCATCAGGTAAATATCACTTTGTTCCTTGGCCAGGATAAAACAACAGTCAGCGACACAAAGTGTTATGTGAGCGTTCAATGACAAATCTGATATTGACACAAATAAAAAAAAAAACTATACGTATCGTAGACTTCTGTATCGTTACGGCGGAGTAGTGGGTTTCGTTGTACGCGACGCTATATGTAGGTCGCTGATCTCACCCTGTATAACGATAGGCGGTATTATTCGGAAACGATATAGACTTCTATGAATAGCGATACATATTGTTTTCTTTCGACGGTCGCGTAGTATCTGTGTCGTTGTGTATTTTTTGCCTGTTTTAAGAACATCCCTTATACATGATAAGATATCGCTTATAGATACACAAAAATAACTTAATATTGTATTATGTGTTAATGTTTGGGTCTAGTTTACTCAGTAACTATAATTTTGGATTAATAGTCGAGAGAAGCAATTACTATAAGTAATACTCTTCTCGACTATATTTAGATATAAGCTAATAATATTGCTTGTTTCATTTAAATTCTTGTTTATTTGGTAAAAATATATCTACTTAAGTTGTAACATATCTTAAGTTATTATATCTATCGACTATAGATCGAAGGTAAGTTTATAGCGGTTCACCTTTAAATAAATTGCATTTTGATTTATCTAATTAATATGATTTGCTTGTTAAAAGCCCAATTGTACACACGTTCATTATGGTTTATAATAAATATGCGATTTTAATTTTTTTATCAGTAATGTCGCTGTAAGGTTATTAAATAGTTAGGAAATTTCAATTCAGAATTTTTATTTCGTTTTATTACTTTTTCCTTTTAACTAATTTTGATTCAAATGGACATGCAATGTTAACATACCTATATTTTTAACTTCTATTATAACTAGCTTTCCGCCAGCGGTTTCGCCCGCGTAGTCTTGTATTATACATAAAAACCTTCCTTTTGAATCACCCTATCTGTGAAAAAAAACCGCATCAAAATCCGTTGCGTAGTTATAAAGATTTAAGCATACATAGGGGTATAGGGTCAGAGAATACGGCTTTGTTTTATACTATGTGGTGATTGACTATTTTGAATTTACCATTGCAATGTATTATATATATTTATTCTTAATCTTAATTAACTTGTAATACATTTTATTTGAATTGTGATGAAATTACAAATGCTGTTTGCGCTTATTATTGGTGCAAATATCAGATGTGATTCTCGGTATTTATTGTTGTTATTGTTATGATTTTTGTACTGTTAGTGTGTCTTCTGAGAATAAATGAATAGGACTTTTTTTTTGGTTTGTTCGTCAGGTAGATTGTTGAAAAATATTAAACGCGTATCGTTTACGTTACGTCACGTTTTTGTACATTTTCTATAAAACTGCGACGTAGTTTTATTGCCTGTTATCTAGGCTATTGGTTGTTAAATTGAAGTAAAATAAAAATCTTTGTATATAAGCAAAAATATTTTTCTGTCATCTTACCGAAGTAGATTTTTTTTTTACTCATGCATCATTCGTATTTCAATGGGCGTTTGTGCAACGGGCCGATAAAATTAAGTATAAAATTATGTGTATAATTATGTATGTATATAGTATAAAATTATGTAAGACAATATATGGTGTATGCGCGTCAGGGTCATCAGCAGCGGCTGGGCGGCGCTTCGCAGCAGTACCTGTTCCCGCGCGCCGCCGGCCTCACGCACAGCGCGCCAGGATCACCCGGTATGTACCATCATCATCATCACCATCATCATCACATCCATCATCATGCCATAAAGTCATTCTCTCCCAGTCATCCGTCAGTAAGTGTAACGAAGCAATAGTAAGATATAAAGACCTCGCGGCAATCTTAAACGAATATCGTTCTTGTATGCATAAGGTTGAATTCTCCAAGTTCTGATATGAGTAAGAACGGCGTGACGTTACGCGCTATTTATATATATTGATATTCGTTTACTGTCTACACCCGTATTTGGTTTATTTAAATTGTAAGTGCGTTGGAGAGAAAATTTCAAAATGCATCAAATTCTCTGGGTATTTCAATGGAAATTAGGCTTTTTGTTTGGAGTTTTGATATTTTTCATCTGGTAACCCTAGTTAAAAGTGACCAAAAAGAGTATTTGTTATGTGGCAATATATGATTATGTTGTGCTGCTGCTTGGAGGAGGAAGTGCATAAATTAGAAATCAGCAAAATAGATCCAAACTTTGAGTCATGAAGTGATGCATTTTTTGTTATGATTGACAGGTCACGGTCTGGGCTATGGCGGCGGAGGCGGGGGCGGGGCCGGGGGCGGGGGCGGGCTGGTGGTGGCGGGGCATCAGATCACCGTCGTCACCAACGGGGCCGGCGGCGAGAGGGAAGGTGATATACATTCATTAAAAAAAAAAAAAAAAAACAATAACTGATACAGCTCAATACTATTTGACTCCTTTTAATTATGACAATGCCTATATCAGGGATAACTAGTAAGAACTCTATAATTTTACAATCTTAAATGGACAATCTTGCGTGGACCGTAGATAATTAATAAAGGCGATAAATTAGCAACTGAGAAAGATATATTTTAGAGAACATACAAAAACACAAAGTATCACAAACATCAACAGTAAAGAATAAGTGATAAAATCATATTAAATTCAATTAATATATATATAAAGAAAAATTATTTCTTTAATATTAAAATATAGATAGTAGGTTGTGCATAAAAACTTTTTGGTTTTCTAATACTGCTAATTTATAGATGTCAAATTATTAAAAAGCTTACATATTAAAAAGTGTGTAACGTCAAAATAAATAAATTACAAATATTATTAAAAATACATATTTTCAAGAGGATTGGATAAAAACTAACTTTAAATGTCGTTTCTTTATTTTCAGGTAGGAATTTTAATAAGTGTAATAAAGTTTTAAGTAGTTATATTATTTGTTTTTTGTTACTAACAAATAATATAGAGCAACACATGGAGTTTACATTGTCAATCCTTTTTGTTGAGCCATTATTGTGATATATATATATATATATATATAAACACTTATCTGAAGAGCCTAGCAATGTTGACGTCAACATAGCTTATTCTGCTAGCTTTGTCTAACCTCCATGTCTACGTATAATCATATAAGATGATTAAATGTCGAATAATGATTGCAGAGAAGTACGTGGTGGGCACCACGACGGGCGGCAACCTCGTGTCCATACAGGAGGATGACGCGCCCCCCTCCGTCGTCATACACCAACACTCGCCTTACTACGCGTCAGTACTATATAATAAATAATAAATTAACAATAATTGTTCACTTGACAGTTATACAAATAAGTTTGTGGATCACAAGAACTGAAACGCGGATGGCCATGATAGGGCATCGTGTGACGTCACATTTCAATAAACTAAACGACAACGTCTTTGTTGTTGCGAGTGTGATCGGTACTTGTGTCTATAATGTGGGATGTCACGGCTCTAAATGTCACGTGACTGATTGTTTTCGCACGATAATTTAAATTGATGAATAAAAGTATTGTTTTGCTCTATTGAATAAGGAAAAACAAATTTGATAATGGTTTTAATATGATACATATGAAATTAAATATTTATTTGTTCAAATCATATGGCAGTTATAACCTTACGGCCTTCAATGTCATAAATAGCGCTTAAAATATCCAATTAGACAACATTATATACAGCGTTTGAATTTCAAATTTAGTAGCTTTTTAGCACTTGTATTGGCAAACCCAGACAGACCTGAGACAATATAGAAAGTTCATATTATACATTATGACTGGTAAGCCTACTGCGTAACTAAGTACACTGACTTCGATTTGGTGCTCATTCGATTGAATGTTAAATATATTGTTTTAATTCAACAACCTAACTGATGTGAGTCTAGTTATGCGGTAGACCTTCGAGGAGCTAGTTGATTTCGTGACCAAAAAGATGGTGACACCTTGAAATCGGCGCGTGAATGTCAAATATGTTGGATTTGCCACGAATTCCAAGCATAGGCCATTAGTATATTGTTACGGAACGACAGTGTTGCCATCTAGAATCCAGTAGCAAGCAACTAGACGCAGACAACACATCACTAGATGGACGTTGATTAAATCCGTGACATGCATCTTGATTTAGTCTTACTACAAATAATATCATGTAGTATGTTTTTGGCAATGTCGCAATACGCCGGTAGGACAGATGCTAAGTTCGCCGCTAAAGACAAAGCGATGAGTACTATAGAAAATCGAAGAACTTTTCTGGGACGAATAAACTGTTTTGATAAAAAAAAACTGTCTCTATCAATGTGATTTTTTTATAAAATGTTTACGTGAATTTGTCCCTGGTATTCTGAGATGGGGTTTAATTTAATCAAAGCGTCTTCTCAGAAAGGGTGGCATCGTTTCGAGGGTCGTATAATCAGTGTACACGATATGTGCAGGGGCAACTACGGGGGCGGTGGCGGGGGCGGGGCGGCGGTGGAGGAGGGCGCGGTGGGCGGCGAGCTCGTCATAGAGGACGCGCCCGACGAGCCGCCGCACAAGCGCGCGCGCCACCACGACGTACGTGTACTTACAGCACGACAATGACACGACCTATCCCTATCAGTACTGCAAAAGAATAACCTAATCACTGCTACACTCAATCTTATTACTATACAATAACCTAATCACTGCTTCACTACAACCTTATTACTAAGCAACCTAATCACTGCTACAATACAATCTAATTACTGTACAATAACCAGTGGCGTAGATAGGTAGCCCAGGGCCCTGGGGCAAATAAAAAAAATGGGGCCCACTGCTATCAAAACTAGTAAGGTTTCTTGAAGTAAAATCATTAAATATACAAATACTTTAAAAATGCCAAGCAACTTTATCATCAGCTCTTTTTCGTGCATGGGCAGGTAATAAAACTATTAAACACTAACAACATAAATTACAATTATTGTTATACTTGGTAGGTATTGGGCAATAAAACGAAAAAGAAAAGATTCAACGGATTATTATATATTTATTTATTCATAGATACGTTACACCAGCTTACTGTTATTTAACCTATCGCCATGCAAGCTATTTACAAAAATTATCAATAGAAATATTTTCTCCAGAAGTACTTGCATAAGGCTGACTAAAAAACTTTTAAATTTTGGGCAATTTTTGTTTACTTTCTTCTCTTTCTTTTCGTTGTTTGCGTTTAAATTCATCACTGGGTTTCTTTTTTTTTTGTCCATAATATTAGTTTTCTAATTTATTTATGCAATATTTATGTAAGATTGTACTCAAGTAGGTACTCATTGTTCACTGACAACGTTAAAAGTAAAAAAGGAAAGCGAAACGTAATAATACGATACAAGACGTCGTTGGGGAATCCCCTGCAACCATTTTATCGCCGCCAGTGTTACCACATTTGACGGTTTACAAAATGACAAAAATATCACGTAATTAATGGACGGCCCCCTACCGCATGTGACTTGTATTTTTCACGGTATTTTGAGTTATATAGTGAGTAGCCGAAATCTATAGATTTCTTTACGTAACTATGTATACGTACTATAATCAAATAAAATTGAACATTTGTATGGACCAGTACAATGGACCAGGACTTTTTAACCATTCTCGAAGAAAAATCTTGACTCGAAGTTCACAATTGCGAATCACAAAAACGCATATCGATAAATAATAATTTGCAGATATTCATATCCGACAAATTGATGAAAACATTAATAACACTGTCAACCCACACAAATAATTTAGGGGAATTCCCTTTTTATAACTGAAATTTCTCACAACCGAGTTGCCATGATTAAACTCGAGTTGTCACCTGTGATATTTATTGACAGGTGACAAGTCGAATGACAGGTTGAAAATGGGAGAAATATTCAAAAATTGAGTTCGATTGAGATTTTCTGTTAAAGATTCGAGGGCCCCCTGAGCTTGAGGGCCCCGGGGCACTGCCCCGTCTAGCCCCTTGGTAGGTACGCCACTGACAATAACCTAATCACTGCTACACTACAACGTTATTACTAAACAACCTAATCACTGCTACAATACAATCTAATTACTATAAAATAACGTAATCACTGCTACAATACAGCCTAATTACTTTACAATAACCTAATCATTGCTATATTACAACCTTATTACTAAACAATGACCTAATCATTACTACATTACTACCTAATTACTATTACACGACAATAACTTAATCACTGCACCTAATTTAATATTGGGTTGTTTCTTGCTTCAAATACAGTACCCGGTATGAAAGTAAAGTGTGTAGACGACTTCTAAAGATGTATCTTGAATATATCAAGATAAGTGTTAGTTTTCACTTAAGCTTTTCTGAAGTCTTGTTTTTTATTTATTTTTTATTATTTTAAATTTATACGTAAGTTTTACTATCAGATACTAAGTCACATCTGTACTCGTTTTTCTTTTATAATATACTAGCATCTGAGATAAAATTATGTCTGAACAAATTGCTACTCATGTAGCCGGAGGTTTATTACCAATTTCAGTCGATATACGTACCCTTTGTTTACTACATATTAAATAATAATTTTAAAGAGAAATAATAAAATTGTTTTATTTTTATATTCTATTAATAAACAACAATGGTATGTATGTATGTTTCATTGTTAAAATAATGTCAACTCTGTTTACAGATGTCAGACTTAGATGATCGACGTTCGTATTGACGGCCCGCGTCTTACTCGACTCGCGCACGCGACGCACGCGGGCCACGTGACGCACGCGAATCACGTGACGCACGCCCGGCACGTTACACACGCAACGCATGTGACGCACGCGCCGTCCTATCGTCACGCTACGTGAGTTAAATTACCGCTGCACGCTTTACAACTACCCTCTGTTTCTGTGAACTCCGTTCTTATATGCATATTTTGTAATTTTTTTAATTAAGTGTTCAGAAATTTGTCTCAAAACTGTTATATTTATTTATCATGATTTATATGATTAATCTAAATGACAACACTGTTGTTTTAGCTTTACAATTATGATATTGAATTAAAACTACATATAACTAAAACTATAAATTCTATAACTAAGCAAAAATAATAATTATTTAAATACTATGTATTCTCGATTATATGTTGAATTTCTGCTCGAAGTTCGGCTTGTAATAAAAACGTTTAAAATTAAATATTTCAATACTTTATTTGTCGCACAGTACATTTATAAAGATATACGAGCCATAATTTTCTTAAACATATATTAACAATTACTTTAGAAGTATTACCGCATCCAAGCAATTTATGATTCTTGTAAATTGTCATTGTCATCATATAATTTTTCACCAATTGTTCTAGAAAAATCTAAAAGGACTTTTGTGTAACGAAACCTATACGGTATTCGTGTGATTATCGCTCACCGGCTTATGCTTGTATATGTTACTAATATACAATATTGTCAGTTTGCGAAAAAGACAAATTATATATAATTTAGAAATTTAAAAAAATATTCGTACGAACCTTTGGTTTGGTAATTTTTTATGTTTCAAACATATACCTAGTCTCAATAGATATTTCATTATAATAATAGTGCTAATAATATTTATAACAATTCCCATGGAACATAAAAACATTGTGTGTATGTATGTATTCATAACACAGTGAGTTATCAATACTGTTTGAATAGGGATGAAGACTGGGTAAAAAAAAATGTAATTCTATTTAGTCCGTCAGTCAGATAATAGAAAAATATTAGATACGTATTTTTTTTTTTACTCCAATTTAACAAGAAATAGCTTAGATAACAGGCATTAAAGTTGAGGAGTGGGGGCTCGGTACGTCACAGTTGAGTAGAAAACGTACTCTAACGTGACGTCATGCGAAATTTCAATGCCATGTAACGCCGTAATTTTATGATTACGAAAAATATAAAAAAAAATACGTGTTTAATATTTTGTAACACTCTACCTGACGGACAAACAAACAAAAATTAGTCATCATCCCTATTATTAATTATATAAAACTGGATAGCAGGTTCTAGTGTTCGAATTGGAATGTATAATGTTTTATCAATAACACTCTTATAGTAGGTGCATGTCTTACAGAAGACGAGTCGCGTCATTATCGGTCGTCAGAACTAACAAATGTATGAAATAACATTCAACTACACTCGACGGAAGAACCGTCTTGTACTAACATATAATTCCGTGAAACTGTATGATCTTCCGTTAGATTTGCACCGATAGATTATCTACTTATATACTATGATAATATGATTATAAACTTACTGAAAGAATATTTATAACTGTTAGCGCTGTCTTCGTCATTCCAATGTGATTTTCAATTGGAGTGAAAAAGATAAAACACTGTGTAACTACTCAAAGCTTATACACTGCTAATTAGCAAGACCTGTGAAATATTAATCTATTTTAGTTTCTAAATTACGATTAATCTAATTTCAACAAATCAAAAAAAAGTACCGTCTGTATTATCAACCTTAAGCCTTTGTAGTTAAAGTTCGAAATTGATTTGTTGTGATCTAATTTGTTTGTTCAGAGACAGAGGGTTCGTTATAAGCGTTTACATAGTTGTCTTAGCAATAATCGGATAAGGGTGAAACGAACTGGACATGTCGAGCAGTGCGGCAGTATCAAACGGATCGATGCGAAATTAGACTAGAATGTGCTAAGAATAAAGTGTTATTTTGAGTGGTACCGTTTAAGTTTTACGCTAAGTAATGCAGTACTATGATGTATGTTCTTTTCTTTCGTTTCTTTTTATGTTGTATTTTTTTTTTCATTATGATATTCTCGAGCTTTATGGACTCGGTATAGTGCACGTTGCACCGAATACTTTGACGTTTAAACGTCACTTTGACAGTTTGTTTCTTTTTTCATCACGTGCGCCCACAGTGACTATGTACAGTCGGCTACAAAAACACAACTCTCCAAAAGGAGAGAACTGCTAATGAGGAAGTATTAAAAATTAAAATTTAAATAAATTCTTTTAGATGGCGTTTCTGTAAATTCTTGAAACGATTACATTGAAACTTCTTTCGAATGGTGAATCATCCTTTCCGCAAAGCAGATCTGCCAATAACGACGACGACCGAGTGTACGATTAAAATTTATTTGAGAGTCTTATTTCAATTATCATAAGGTGCAAAATACAAGGTTGAATGTGTCTGTCTCGCTCACATTCAGCGATGGTTAGGCGCGTTGTATTGGTGGATCGTTAGATGGCGCGACGCTTGGATTAGTCAAATTTCGGTACATCAATGGGAATCGGTTATATTTTATTGTAATTTAGATTAAAAAAAAATGAAAATTAAGTTTCAAAGCTTATATAGGGTATGTTCCGATATACACTGCGACCACTGAACAGTATGACGTCAATTTAGTATACTGGAAGCCCGTTCCTTTATAGCTAGTTATACTGGTGACTTTTTAAAACGGAACGCAGTCCAGTATACTGTTAATCCTATTTTTGGCGCCATTTTCAAATTTGTTAATGCAAGGTGAATATAAATATAAAGATTCCCTCTTTTCAAAAGAAAATTGGAAAATTGTATAAAAAAAATATTTATCAATTAAATGCATCTTATAAATAAACGTAAGTATTTTTGTTTGTTTATTTATAAACTTATCATTTTCTGATTCTGTTTCGACTGATCACGTGATCAAAAGCACTGCGAGCACCTTACCTCGAAATCTCCAGTGCTCACAGTACAAATATGGCGGCAATTAATGACGTCATAAATTTCCCTAGTGTACTGTAGCAGTGTACTGGCAGTCCATAACGGAACGGATTTTTCAGCAGTAAGACCACTGCGCAGTGCTCGCAGTGTATATCGGAACATACCCATAATTTAGTCATTATAACTATACTTACACGCCCCAACAATAATCGTAAGGCGTTTTATAGATAAACTTTATGTTTTTCAAATACTTCCTCATTGAAAATGTATAATGATGGTATATATATATATATATATACATATTTTTTTGAAGCTGACTTTTACATTTCTTCAATGAACTTATAATGTGCAATGAATAAAATGTAAGTTTAGATAAAATAAAAATAATAATGTAACCCGAATATTGTTACTTATTTTATACTAGACTACTTAAATAAACTAAAACTCATTAGTTTTATGTCGCGGGGTTCTCCTTGAGTTATAGTTACTGTTTAATGAATTATAGTACAGTAGACCAAAAACGTAATAAAGTTTGAGATATATAATTTTGCATGTGTTTTGACGAGGCAGGCTCACATATTGAAGCCTACAGATTAACGAGTGCAATCGGAATAAGATTTCGATTTAGCTCTTTAAATATCTATAGATAGTTACATGAATCATCACAGTATTAGTGATGTGTTTTCGTCTCGATAAATAAAATTGATTAATAAATTGAAATCGAAAGGGTTTTTTTGAAGCTTCGAGATTCGTGATCGATCGGTGGCAATTGAATGGATGCTCTTACATGTAAAGTCTGCTACAGGAGCGGAATGTTCAACAGGTTTTTTTTTAGTTAGAAAATCGCCGTAATGTCCAAGAAGTTCCATTAGACATCTTATTCTCAAGCGATGAGATTGTGTTGACCCAAAAGCTTTCCAAATATTGAAGAGGCAAAACATTGCATTATTGTAAATTAAATAGGTTTCATTTGTTGAAGGTAGATAATAACAAAGCATTTTAACTAAATCTAATCGTTTGTTGATTAAGGTCTTGTTCTATAACGTGTTTCTAGCTAGTGGTATCACTGGACGCGCCATACGAATTTATTCAAAATTAGGTACAGCATATAAGATCCTTAATGCGTATCGACCATTTATAGTAAAATTTACAAAATATCTAAAACGAAATATATCGTCCTGTTGACTTTTGACGATGATTGTAATATAATTATTATAACCCGTGATCGAAGTAGGTTTTTCTCCTATTTAGGTTGTCATATTATGGATATGCCTTCGATCCAAAGATTTAAATATAAATGTATAAAGGTATAGTAATAAATAGAAAATCTGGTAGTTTGACTTGTGAAATATTCCGTACCACAAATTTATATCTGTTTATTATTGTTGTAGGCATGATGATGGTCTTAGTGATGAGTCCTATGGAAATTACGTTTGTGTATCTTCTGGTAAAGATAAAGCGCAGAATCACGAATTAATAAAAATACACTTCTTAGAAGACATTGGGATACTTCATGTGATTTTAATAGATATAATCGATTCTTTAGCACCCGCTGGGTGTTTTCTTTCATTTTTATATGAACACCAAATTTTTAGATAATTTTAAAATATCAGATACTTGAGTCATATCCATATTAACATGTACTGATCAGATCCGAAAGAACTCGACAAATCATTAAAATTGGGTCCAGCTATTATGAAATTTAGTTTTCTTATGTTGATCGTTTACCTGATTACTTTAGTGACGAAATGAATCTACTTAAAAACTGGTAAATAAATTAGTTTTTAAAAATGGCGTGTAATTGGGGTGGCTCCAGTATTATTTTACTTTAGATTTGAAAAAAAAAATGGGTAGAAATATTGTATTTTGTAGCATAATTTGTATTCTCCAAGAAAAACATGATTATTATGTCTAGAATGAATTATTCGATTTAATTTCGTAAGTCACGCCCATCGCAATAATACGACTGAGGTTACCCGTACTGTGAGTCGGCCTTATGCGTGCACGCACCGTACCAATGAGACTTAAAAAT